GCCATCATTGTTGTTTGGCGGGCCTGGGCTAGATTCGAACCTGCCATCTTAGGTGTATGTGGCTGGCACCTTAGCCACTTGAGCCACAGGCACCAAGCCAGTTTATGAAACCTTAATGAGAAATAATTCAGAATGTTTGGTTCAAACTAAGTAGTTGAAACACACTTTTTGGCTTGACCCAAACTCAAACCAAAGTTATTTAATTATAGCTGGTTTTAAACTGAAACTAAAATGAAAAGTATATTGCTTAAAGTCCTATATCCCAGGAAAAGAAAAAGAGCAGAAGTCTGGGAAAACACAGGTATGAAAGTTATTTCAGAGAAACAAAACAATTAAACCATGGCAAGATAATAATTTTACATATATTTTCCCCAAATACTTATATTTAAATTTTTATGGTACACTTCTAAAAGATAACACATTTTGAATAATTGAAATTCTTGATTTGGGTTGCATCTAGGAAAAATATCATCTTTGATAAGATTTCTAGGTAAATCAAGCCTAAAATATGATATTGGAAAGCTATGCACAGAATAAAGACTGAAAGAAATGACACCAGATGACTATTTGTAAGAGCTGACTTTTTAAAATCTGCCGTTTTAACATCTGTCTTTTATATGAACATTATTGTTTTATGATGAAAATAATCATTTTTCTATTTTACAAAGGATTTCATCATTGATTAAAAAACATGGTAATTTTTCATAATTTTTTTAAATTAGTGAATAGTACAGACACTCTGGAAGATAGTTTAGCAATTTCTCACAAAACTAAACATACTCATATGATTACGATCCAGCCCTTACACTCCTGGGTATTTACTCAAATGAGTTGAAAACTTATGTCCACACAAAAGTCTGCATATACATGTGTATAGGACCATACAAACTATTCTGCTGTTCTGTATGATCCTATAAAGGTGGATGCTTGTCATACGCTTGTTCAACTCCATAGAAAGTATAACTCCAATAGTGGACCCTGATGTAAACTATGGACTTTAGGTAATAATGATGTGTTAATGTAGGTTCATCAATTATAACAACGATACTACCTGGTGCAGAGTGTTGAGAGTGGAAGAGGCTAGGTGAGGGAGAGTAGGAGGGGGTAGATGTAGGAACTCAATGTACTTTCTTCTCAATTTTACTGTGGTCCTAAAACGGCTCTAAAAAAGAAAGCCTATTAAAAAGTTATCAAGTGTTCCACTTAAAAATGTGTATATTATGTATCTGTGTATAGAAATAAAAGTGTCTGAATAAGTAAGATGAAAACAATTTGCCATCAGATCCCAGGGCATTCAAATATTTGTTGAGTGAATGGATAAATTAATCTATAATACTTTGACAGAACTCACTGGGAAAATTGTTCAGCTTTCTCCTTTGTCTATAAATATTTTTTAAATGTTTTTTCTTTGTGAAAAAAAAATCCACATTAACCACCACCAGACCCCATCCTTCATCTTACAAAATTCAGTCACAGAGTTGAGGCCCAGACAAGAACCAGCCTAAGAAGAAGCTAGACCTTGTCTCCACTAAAAATAGAAAAAGAAGGCCCCATGCCTGTGGCTCAAGTGGCTAAGATGCCAGCCACATACACCTAATTGAATCCAGCCTGGGCCCTCCAAACAACAATGATGGCTGCAACCAAAAAATAGCCGGGCATTGTGGCAGGCGCTTGTGGTCCCAGCTACTTGGGAGGCTGAGGCAGGAGACTCGCCTGAGCCCAGGAGTTGGAGGTTGCTGTGAGCTGTGATGTCATAGCACTCTACCCAGGCAAATAGCTTGAGGTTCTGTCTCAAAGAAAAAAAAAAATAGAAAAAAGAGCCAGATATCATGACTACTCCTAAGTAGTCCCAGCTACTGGAAGGCAGGTGAATAGTAGGAGCCCAGGAGTCTGAAGTTACAGTGACCTATAATCACACCACTGCACTCCAGCCAGGGCAACAGAGTGAGATTCTACCTCAAAAAAAAAAAAAAAAAGAAGCCGCAGAGTTAGAGTAACTATATATTAGTTATTTACCTAATCACAACCTAAAGACCCATTTAGGTT